ACTTGTGATTACTTTTGTAAAATAAAGTCCCCCTTCATTGTTCCCTAGTACATAGAAGTGTGCATGTCTGCATTCTGTACTTCTCCCTATAACTTAACCAAGATATGAATAAAATAATAAATCATAACTCACCTATTAAATATTACAGTGTTCCAATAAAATGTTAAGTTCCTTGAGTTAGGAATTAATGCCTACTTGTAATTAATTGTTGAATGAAGGAGTTAATGGGCAAGTGAGTGAATGACTGGAAGGATGAATTTGGTAAGAAGACCCTTTTAATACCACCCAACTCAGTACTAAGAATTTATAAGTTCTTTAGTGGGATATTACTCTTGAATGTACGATTTAGAAAAAAAAATCATGTGACTAAAACTATGCATAAAATGTGAACAAAGAAATAGGAAAAGATACTATCCAAGGGAAGACATTTAGATATAGAGTTCAGAAATCTATAGTCACATTGTAACTTTTAGACTGGTTCCAGTGCCTGTATGTCCTGGGATTTCCCACTGAAGAGTGAGTTCTGTACTGGAGCCTGTTTCCTATGCTTTCACAGGCAGGAATGCGGCTCTTCTGACAGTTAACAGGACTGCTCCACACATCTTTGTCTCCACATTGACATCAATTTCCCTTTCATATCCATGACAAATTTAAAAAGCCTGACTTTTTCTGGTTTGATATAATCATAACTTGGTAAAGGCTCTTTTAAGATGAAGGGGAGGAAGAAGAGGAGAAAGAAGAAGGAAGCAGAGGAGGAGAAGGATTATTTTCTAAAAATACTGAGATTAAGATGGCATATTTTAACATCATCCAAGCAATTGAACTTTCTGGAACTTTTTGTTTCAAAAGTTTATTTTTTTCAATATGCCTTTAGGTGTGGAGATTTAGTAGTATGAAATAAGCTCATTTAACTTAAAATCAGTCAGCACATCACAAACACTCAGTAAAATGAGTGTAGTCAGCATTATATTGAGCATTTTCCCAAATTCCCCTTTGCCCACTGCCTTCTATTGAAGCAGTAATACGACCACCGTCCTGTAATGCTCTACTCTTTGAGGGTCAGTGATAGATTTCTGTCTTTGTATCCTCCATAGCACCAGCACTTTGCTTTTCAAAGTATAGCACTAAGTGAACCTTGACATAGTGAAATAACACTAAGTTGAAATCATTGTTATCAGAACTTTTGCTTTTTATGAGGCATTTTCTGCTCCAGCCTACCCCTGTAACCCAGGCTAACACTACCTTCAGACTAACCTTGGAAAATATCTCAGGTTTGCCATCTTCAAGGGAGACACTGCAAAAACTGGACTTCTCTAGATTCCCTTTCCACATCAAACTACATCTGTTTTGTATCTTGAGCCATGTAAAATGCTTTCTTCAAGTGCTAATAGAGTGTATCACACTGTCAAAATACGTTGACTGCTAATGGGTTCACTTTTTAGCCTCCCAGTTTATGTATTGAAAACTAATTGTTTTTATTAATAGTAATGTAGGGCCGGGGATTTAGCTCAGTGGTTCTGCCACCTGCCTCACAAGCGCAAGGACCCAAGTTCAATTCCTGGTACCCCCCCCAAAAAACGATAATAATGTAACAATAATGACAATAGCTACCATTTATAAAAATGCCTGGCACAGTAATTAGAGGTTTATTATAATCACATTAACAATGACTACTGGTAGATCAGTAATAATAACAATGACCATAATGACCTCATACTGGACTGAAGTTTTTTGTTTATTTTTGGTTTTTGGTTTTGTCTTTCAGTATTGTTTCAAAGAAGCAACTAGGTAGTTAGTTACTCCAGGTCCAGGAGTTGATTTAGAGTTAGTAAGTAAATGTACTTTTTATTTAAAAAAAAAGCAAATTGTATGTGTGCTTTTGTGTATGTGTGTCCACCCACACACATGTGTTCCTCCTAATTTCAAAACAAATCAAAAGCATTATAGACTTTGTGGTTAGTATGAGGCTTTGGTGTCCATCTGCCTTGATTAAAATCCAGACTTGTTACAAGCTAACTCTGTGACTAAAGCATAGGCAAATTACTTAACCTCTCTGACTCCTAATTTTCTCATTTGTGAAAAGATAATTTTAGTACCTAACTCAGAGGATTATGAGGACTAAATAATACAATGAGTATTGTGTCCATAATAGCACTCAATAATGTGTTGTACATTGTTGTTTGTTTTTTATTATGGCTATTATTTTAAAAGAATTGGAAAAATGTAGCAAAGCAAAAAAGAAAAGAATCATATTTAATTACATTTATATGACAGCTATTAACATTAATAATGAATTATATTTTCTAGTTTTTTCTAATTACTTGAATGCTTAAGCATGTGAAATTTTAGACTATTTGTATTTATTATTTATTAACTTTTAAATAATTTAATTTTTGTGCCCCATATATACTCCTGCATATAGTTTTAGTAATTGCATATTAGTCCACCATATGTATGTGCTATAATTTGCTTTGAATTTTTTTACTCATAGTAAATATTTGTGATCTAAAATAATATGAATATATATCTTTTGGGTTATATTTTATTAGTCTATTGATATGAATCTATAGGGAACTATTTAATAATAGAATATACAAAAATTTGAACTTTAAGGTAAATTGTCAAATTGGCTTTCATGAGGACTTTAATTTCATTTAAAGGCACAGTACATAAAGCTTCTAGCTTCACTGTAATCTTGCCAAGCCTGAATAACATATATATTTATATATAATGAAGTTTAATGGTTTTTGCACAATATAAAACAAATACATTTCAATTTTGAATCTTAGATTCCTAACCTATAAAATTAACTAATAGATGTAGAAATACAGTCATAGATCTTAAAGTTTACATTGATTCCAGAGCCTGTTGATGCTCACTATTTGAAGTGTAGTTCAAATAAAAAGGACCATGGCAAAATTGAGCTAACACCAGAAGAGCTGATGAGGTAAATAAGGAGGTGCAGCTCTCTGGCAATGTTGTTCAGAATGCCCTAATGTTTATCAGACATGCAAACAGATGTAATTCCAATTTCTGATTATTTTTGTTATTGTCCATCATGTTAAACTGTGTGCTCAATAAGAGCAAGGATCTTCATTTTATTGACTAATGTATCTTCAGTGCTTAGCAGAGAGTGTGACACATACGAGGGGTTCAGTAATGTGTATTGAACAAACAAATACTTTGTTTGGTGATCAAACACCTGTCAGGAGGTCACACACTTGGTAATCAGTATGTGGCCTCCCCTGGATAAGCTTGGATGAGCTACCAAGAGTGATAGCTCTTGAAACCCACTCCTAATAGCTCCCATTTTCATGTCCTGGTGGCAGTCTTTTTCAGATATTTAATACCTGCAGCCTGATTATGATTTAGCCTCCTGAGCTACAATCCACATTCTGTAAACCTGTGTTGGGCCACTAACTCATAAATCAGTTTAAGAGCTCACCTTTGATGATATGATAGTGTTATTTGCAAGTTGTTAGGGATATTCCTTCACTGCCCCTTTGAACTACCTAGAACAACAACCTCATGGGTGTTTGAGAGTATATTATATAACATGCCATTTAAAATATAAAACCAGTTTTCTAGGAAATACAATATGGAAGTTAAAAGCCCAGGCTCTAGAGCCAGACTTTCTTAATTCAAGTCTGGGTTCACAAGTTACTATGTCACTCAGTCACACATGTGTTACTTAATCACACTGTGTTGTGTTTTTTCATGCAAGAAATGTAAGTAATAATCCATGTCTTATAAGATCAATGTGTAGATTAAGTGAATTAAAACATGAGAAGTAGAAATTATAAGTAAATGTTAGTTGCTATTCTGGTCATTATTAGCAGCAATAATGACCTCATTGAGAGCTTACTATGTAAGTACTGGACACCAAATATATATTATTTCAGTTTTTAAAAAATCTATGGGTCATTATTATAACCCCACCTCATGAATAGATATATTGAGATTTTTAAAAACTTGGTAATATCCTAAAATCATAGAACTAGTATGTAGTAGAGCCTGTATTTAAATGCAGATGTGTCTGATAGTCTCTTATGAAGATATTTCCCTGAGCAGAATTTGATGTATCTGCTTTCTTGTTGAAATTATAACTTCTAATATCTGATCTTTAGCCTTTTTAGCCATTCTCACATGTGAGCATTTAAGCACCCATATATTGGTTTGATTGCCTATAGTTTCTAAGGACTCTTACAGATGTGGTTCACTTTACCATTCTTTGTGTGCTCTCTATTAGGGTTGTAGCCAAATCAGCCAATTAAAAAATTAAACACAATTTCAAAACTATAGGTTGGCAACAGATGACACAAACATGCAATTTGCATTCATGTGGGGATACTAAGGTTATAAAACCTTTAAAAAATCTTTTTTAAAAGAACATTTTCCTTGCAAAATCAACATGTGTAACCCTTCAGTATTTATTTTTAGTGCTTGTTGAAGTTGTACATGCTCTAATCTAATGGTACCTCTCCACCTGGAGTGCAGGTGTCTGACACCAGGAGCAAGGGAGGCTCCTGTACTGTGAAGTGACTGGGTGGCTGTGCCCTGAGATCCAGTACTTTTCTTATTGCAGTGACAGATGTGAAATTTGAACCCCTTTCAGACACCAGAAAAAAAAAAAAGGAAAACTGAGAAGCAATCCATTTACAGATGTCAACACAGCCACTGTGTTTGCAGGCATGATTTGCTGTGCCACATTTGACGGATTATTTTTATATCCTTGAGATTTATCTTGTTTTCATTGAAATGTGCTATAAAATGTTCTGTTACCTTTTGCTAGGTGAATGAATTGTGATATCGGGTAAAAGTCTGTTTCACAACCAAGAGACTATGCTGAACTGAGAGCTAGCATGACCATGAATTGGTAGGACAGTAATGATTTGTGCACGATACATATTCAGGAGCACATTAGAATGTTAGCTATGATTACATGGATTTACACAGGATTCAACTTGATGTTTAAAGATCTTATTTTCCTTTTTTTGCAGGTTAATTGTGTATGGTTTTGTGAAGGCTATGATATATGTTGGTCAGCTGAAAAATGGAGACTTTCATTTCACTGACTGTTTATTTTTTGGTTCACTGATGTCAGCTACAGATCCAGGTAATTGTTCAAATAACACATTCCTTTCTTGTAAAGAGTCAAATATTTAAATTGAATGTTTCTCCAAAAGACATCACCTGAACCTTCTTACTAATAATTATTTATTCCTTGTCACATGTAGTTGACATATCTGTTAGTGATTTTTTTTAAAGAAAAAAAAAGAAAAAGAAATAGGTGAATATTTAGATAACTCTCAAGAAATTAATCAGAAAGCAATTTCAGTAGCGAGAGAGACTGGTTAAAGTCATTATAGTTTATTTTTCTAGAACTTGTAGCCATTTTGAGCCATACTCTTTAATCTTTCTCTAATCAACATATCTTTCTTCAAAATGATCTATTGAATTAAATGGTTTAAAATACTTTGAAACATCATTTACTGTGAAACTTTTACTGTGGAAGAGAGGAATCAGGAAGTATCAAAAGTAAGGAGAATAGTAAAAAGAACATCATATGTCCTTCAGCAATTACCAAACATGGTCAATTTTTTAAATTTATACCTCCTCAACCCACTCCCTCTCATCATGACTGCATTAGTTTAAACCAAATCCTAAACAGTATACTGATATATAAATATTTTGAAAAATGGTCATTGCTATATAAAACCTAAAAATATTCGAAAGCATGATTTAACAATATCAAAGTCAAGGTTCAAATATAACCAATTGTTATTACCAATAATTAGTTTGTGTAGTTTGTGTCTTGTTATTACCAATATTAGCTTGTGTAACTATTTATATAAATCAGGACCCAAAGATTGCACATCACAGCTGGTTGTTATGACTGTTGAGTTTCTTTTAACCTTTAAATTCCTCTCCATTTCGTATAAACAAAAGAAATAATTTGCCTTGTGGTTGAATTGAGTATGATTCGGCAAAGTGTTTTCATATTTCCCATATTTCTTATAAACTATGGTTAGAGTAGAGGCTTAATCAAATTCGTGTTCACTGTTTCCTGTCAAAATCATTCTGAAGGTGATGCTGTGAGCCTTCTATTACATCATGTCAGGAGGCAAATGTTAATTAGTGCCTGAGCTGTCAGGCTGATTCACATTCATGAATTGCTACTCTAGCAAGGACAATCAGAGCACATCTGTAGATGAACAAGATGGGTTTATTACATATTGCAATGAGACCAAATACTTGCTGTGGAGAACTGTGGGTTGTCTCAGAGGTGGTTAGACAGGACTTATGATAAGACTTGGATTTATGCTTGTGATTTTAAGGGTAAGGTGTCAGGACTTTGCCCTGGAATAGATGATGTCAGGAAGTGGAAGCAATTCTATGACTGGCAACTTCATTACGTCTTTTGTAGAAGAAAGAAAGACCAGACTAAGCTAAGGCTGTAGCTGGTCAAGAAATAGTGGTCCATTCTAATAGCTGGAATAGGAAGTTGTTTGGTCTGTTTTGTGGCTTTGGACAATATTCATTATGTATGTTTAGACATTCTTATGTAGTAGTTTTATTTGTTGGTGTTCAACAGGAGAGAACAAGGTCTAGCTGACAGTACCAGGCCAACTCTTGAATATCAGGGGCTGTCTCTTGCTTGCTCTCTCTCTCTCGCTCTCTCTCTCCTCCTCCTCCTCCTCCTCCTCCTCCTCCTCTCCCCAGTCATTTTCCCCAATTTTTTTTTTTTTTAGCACATTTTCAGTACATAATTTGACCAGCAATGTTGGCACCACATTGTCGTAAATACTCTCAGGCTCAACCCCATACCTAGTAAAACAGAACTTAACAGTATCCCTAAGTAATTCATATGCACATTTAAGTTTGAGAAATTCCATATTTTAAAGTTGCTCATTCTACCTAATGGCATTAGGACCCTTTGCTATCAACTGCTCCTTCTAGTATTTATTAGGAGTTACAAATGAGTAGTATGCAAATTCTATCTACATTTTGCATTTATTGGTCTGTACTCTCCTTAAAGAAGTAGTTTTTCAGTTCAACTATTTGAGTACTAATTGTGCAAACAAACAAAAGAAAATAGAACAAATGGTTCATTCTTTCCCTTCATTTATCAGTTTTCAAAATAATGTGTTTTCCTAAAATCTTCCATGTTACCAACAAGATGGGTTTTTAAAAAAGTATCTTCATGAATGCATGGTTGATATATTTCAAGCTACTATTGTGATTATTCTTTTTGATGATCAAAATGTTTCATTTGCACTAAGTAGAAATCTCTCTGAGTTTCTGCCATCACCACCCTGGTCTTTGATAAGCTTCTTGTGTTTGGTAGAAATAGATGTCTCTAACCTTATCCTGAATGTTTCCTTAATCTTGACTTGTAAACACCCATTTCTCCAAGGAATCTTAGTTCTTTCAAGAAGGAAATTTATTTAGAGGCTATAATTGAGGCACTAAGAGCTTTCATTGATGGCAGACTGGTCATTATTTCTAAGCCCTTTTTACTAGAGAAATTATAGCACATATTTCCATTGTGTTTTCAGTTCAAATTTAGGATTATAGAAATCTTTACTGCCTTGAATCTTAATTTGCATTTTCATTTTTCTTCTCCCTACTTTTCTTCATGTTACTACATTAATCTTATTAAATTAATCCTACCACATTAATATAATTCATACTTATTTAAAATATACATCCTCAAAATTATATATGTTGCTAAAAATATCACAACTGAAAACCACTTAAAATTTTATTGTGGTTATTTTTAACCTTTAAATATATTCCATTTGGGATGTACAGTTAAAAACTGCTCTGTTCTAAAAATCACTTGATATTATTCCTCTATGTGGTTAAGTCACAAGTCAATGCACAAAAATGTGCCTCTGTTTCATTATGCTTTTTTGTTTTAAAATTAGATAAAATGTCTATAGGTTTCTAAAATGAAAACCACAGAACAACATTAGAGAAATCTAGCTGTTATCCTTGTTCTCCTACCTTAATTTTCCAAACATTTCTGTTGGTTTTTAGCTTACCCTTCCATTTTTTAATTTAAGCAAATATACAAACATAGATATACTTTACTATATGTTTCTTTATTCATGATTCTTCTTCTTACTTTTGTTTAGCACTATTTTAAAGATCACTCCATAGTAACTAAAAAGCTCTTTCTCATTCTGTTTTATAGCTACAGAGCACTCTGTAGTTTATTCAGCCAGTACCCTATCAATGCATCCCTTAGAGTCTTGTCTTTTGCAGTTATTAATGGTGCTGCAATTAATAATCTTGAAAGCTTTTCATATTTTACCAGTGTTTCCTTGAGACAAATTTCTGGAAACACATTAAAAGGTAAATGCATTTGTAATTTTCCTAGATGCTAAGGAAATTCCATCAAGTTTGTACCATTTTGCATTTATACCATCAATATATCACAGTTCCTGTTCTTCACAGTCCTGGAGATACAGTAATTTATCAAAATTTTGGATTTTTACCCATATGCCAGGAGATTTCTATCTCCTTGTGATTTGACTAGTGTTTCTCTTATTATACATAAAGTTTAACATTTGTTTAGAGGACATATGTTTAAAGGACATAAGAATTTTTCTGAAAATCAATTATTTATAAGATGCTGTTTCCCGATAGAGTTGTTGATCTTTTACATTTCACATTTTATAAGTCCTTGATATATTAGAGATGTAACCCTTTTTTCTGTAATAAAATTATAAATATTTTTCCCAGTTTTTCAGATTTTAGTTTTAGAGAAGTTAATGTGTGATGTTGCTCTGTCTCCCGGAAGAGGATGAAATGAAAGTGGGTCTCAGGTTTGGAACCCAAGCTATAGTTTAGGATCAGAGCCCCAGTGTGGTGTGCAGAGACAGACTGCTCCATCTGCAAGGTCAGAAATAACTTAGGCACTGCATCACTGCTGGAAGATTTTATATTATACTTGCTGGAATATTTCGTGCTATACTCACCCAGCCCCAGGGAAATGCAGAAGTCTCTTGATAGCCACCAGAAGCATGGACTCAACACAAAGTACCTTCTGCCCATGAGTGATTTTGCTATAAGATTGCACTCTCCTGCCTTATATGAGCATTCTGACCTACAGTCAGGCCTCATTGCAGGTCACCTTTGCACAATCCTGTGTGTTGAAAAGCAGTCCATCCATTGTTTCCTAGTCTCAATGCTGAAGGCTGAGTTTGCTGCATTCCACTGAGTGACTGAGCCTGCTTCAAGCACAGTTGAGTTGTGCTCAAGCTTTGCTCCTTCTGTGGCTGGTGATATCCCTGTGGCTATGTTTCCATGACACAGAAAAACTGATTGTAATGAGGAAAAAAATCCAACCTGGTGCCATGGCTACTTATCTGCACTGGGTCAAACAACTGAGCTTACTGAACTTTTAAACTATAAAATTGCCTCACAACCATAAAGAGAATCCTGGGAACCAGGTCCATTTTCCAAGTCTGGCTTGGACAAGCTGTGCAACTTTGAGCAACCATTTAGCTCCTCCAGGTTATATGAATTTGTGGAGATGGAAGATGTGCAATCTCATTCATTCCAACCCTTGCATTTTCCAAATGAATAAATTGACTCTTCATCTGTAAAATGAAAAGTTTCATCTAGAGCTGTACTATCCTCCCAGCTCTAATGTTCCATGATTCTTATTTCTATGATATTGGATTTTACTTTAAAATTAAACTTTTCTTTCAAGGAAAGTAAAAGCCCAAAGTCTGTCACTTAGATATTCTAGAATTCTAACCCCAGCTAAGAAAATGCTAGAGATGGCCTTATACAATAGAAACCTGCAATATAAGCAAGGACACTTATGTTCCCTTCTTTTACTGAGAGCTAATTGTTATATTAAAACACGCTAAACCCACTCTCTGCTAAATTGGTATAATTTAAGATCTTCAACAACCTTAAAACACCTAGTTAGTCTCACCCGACAATTGCTCATTTATTGCCTAAATTCTTGTGACTCACTAATTTATGAAAAAGAACCTATACTCTCCAGGTCTACTATTTCTTGGCCTTCTCTAAATTAATTCTTTCTATTTAGTTAAATCTTAGTGAGATATTATTATCTATTCATATTTATTTTTT